AGACAAGGAATTCGATCCGAACCAGAATGTGGCAGCATAAGTACAACATATTGAACAAAAAGGAAACAGAAACACCACTGGTACGTCACTTCCTGTTGCATGGATGGCCAGCGATAAGAGTGTCAGGACTACAGCACAATACATCATGGACAAATATGGACAGAAAAAAAGAGGAAAGAAGATGGATTCATTCTTTAAACACTATAGAACCATCTGGTTTAAACAAAAAATATAACTAAGAGGTTAAATTAAGTATTTACAATCTTAAAGTGAGGGTAGGAGGTCCGGGAATGGTGTCCTTTTGTAGTTTTCCTCCTTCCTGTTTCTCTCCCCTCCATTTTGATCCTAATGTCTGCCTTTCTCCCTTGTCTCTCTGTCTGCCATGTTTGTGTTTATTCGTGGTGTGTTTTTTTTCGACCCTAACCTCTCCCATACCTTTCCCTGACCCTAACCTCTCTCCCCCCTTGCCTAAACCTAAGACTCTCACCCCTAAGCCGACCTGTGACCTTGACCGCTCACAATAAAAATTCAGGCAGGGCCTCTGACCCGTAAGGACAGGCCTGCTCTGTTTAAGTTGTCAGTCTGGACATAAAATACTTATTATAAATAGTTTTAATCATTAAGTACTTAATATAAGTTAAAAAAGAGTTTACTCTGAATAAATAGTGACATAAATTAATCATATAGAATTAATACATACATAGAAACAATCTTAGAATAAATAGAATAATAACATCATCATAAAAAATAGGTCCAGCCCTTACATAGTACAAATAGACAACTTAATTCATGATTTGACAGTAAATACTTAATAAATAACATTTATCTTAAAAAATTAATTATTTATATTTAACCCCTAACATAGACATTCAATTCATAAGGTAGAAAACCAATCAGATTAATTAAAAACCACAAAAGAATCTGTCCAATTAACACACAATCAAAATATGCTTTTATTTTGGTAACACGAACTCCCAAACTACGGTTCGGAGGAGAGTATAAAAGGAGGAAAGGAGACACACAGCTCACTCCTGCTCTGACTTCGGTACAGACAACAGCTCTGCCAGTCACACGCAAAAAACATCTCTCACTCTACGAACTTCTAAATTTACAAGTGTGCCTTCGCCTGAGGAAGACCTACTAGGTCGAAACGTTGCGCACGGGCACATTATAGGAAAATCCTCTTAAACAATTGTAAAATTTACTTTTTAGGCTAAGACACTGTTTTGTCTTCTCTTTAAGTTCACTTTCGTTTTTGAATTGTAGTCCTTTTGTTTTCTTATTTAGTTTAAATACATTGAGCTTAGCATTTAATACAATACAAACTTAATCATTAATTAAATTACACCGCTTGTCAAGAGCCCATCAGAGGGACACAGTGTGGTGTATAGGGAGGATTATTATTTAAATACACCATCTAACTGTCCATCAGAAAATTGGATCACTCTTACAGCATCATGGGATATTATGATGAAGATTGGCATACAGTCAGACATGGCAGACGTCAGGGCCGCTCTCGTGAGCAAAGACACTATACTAATAACACGGCCTACACAGGAAAGAGAGCGTACTGGGTGAAGGACCGCGCATCTCCAAACCCTCGTTACAGGAGGGGGCGGACTCAGTCCCAATATCCTAACCGGCCAGTGCCTCCCCAAGGCCGCTCGTATCCTGCTAGGCCTCCAAGTGACCCCAGAGGTCGTTCATATGCTGATGTGGTTAAACATGGCAAACACAAAACACAATCAAGGAATGCTAACACGGTATTCCATCAGAGAAATGTCACCAAGCAACAGAGGGGGGTTGCTGTCACATCCAGAGATCAAAACACAGCACCAACAGACCCAAAGTTTGGGCGGTTGGTTCGACAGTTACACAAAGTGATCAAAACAGTGCACCACTACCAGAATGTAGCCGTAGAACAAGAAAAGCCTGCCCCTAAGATGATCACCAGAATGGTGTACAACTTGGCTAATATGATTAAGCCGGCTTGTCCAAATCCAGACACAGCTGACTTAATTGTGGGGAATGCCCAAAATTGGGGGTACACCACTATGCAAATCTTGCAAGAACATTATAAGGCAGTTCTGGACCAACTCTTAACAGATCTAAAGAACGATCATGTGACAGAGTGGACAGACGCCTTTAATGTAGCGACAAAGTGGGCACGCAAAAACCTTCCACATTTAAGCCAGGAGGTCATAGACCACGCCAAAGCTCTCATCTCCTCACTGGGAGACGTGGGACAGGACACAGGAAGGAAAGAAAGACCAAGACAGGATCCAGACAAAGACCAAGACAGAGACCGGGGAACAGACCAGACAGAACGACAGACACAGACACAAACACAACAACAAACACCACCACCACCACCACCACAACGTACACAACCACAGACCGGTACAACGGAGAAACAAAAAACTCCAGAGAACACACAAACAAATGAAACAGGGGGAGGCCCTGTCCCACGTGCACAAGCTGAGGAAATAGAGAGGGTGAGACAGAGCCAAGATGGCGCTCAGTTTCCCGCTCTGCAGACCCCACAGAGGGAAGAGCCAAGGCCACAGAGAGCACGTAGGACATTTGAGAGCCAAAACCCATGTGTTGTGTTAGAGAACAATGCAGCGTGTGCAATTGAAGTGATAGCACAAGTTACGCCTGTTAGAACGCCTAAAGTACCACCAAGGGCCACACGAGCAGTTGACTCACTGTTGATGGAGGATTCGACTAACGTGGCGGACGAGACTCCCAGCCTGACACCAATACCTAGGCCCAGAGAGCCTGACATGGGTTCTCCAGGTGAGCAGGACACCACGTATCAGCCGAACACATCTGAACAACAGGAAGAGCAACCTAGCTCGGGCCAGGCTAACACTTCTACTCCAAAGCAGCGCTTGTATAGGGTTAAAAGACACATTAATACGGACAGAAAAATGATTGACTGGAACCTTACGGTTTGGAAAAAATGGCTCGTAATAGGGGATTCCAACCTTTCACGCATTCCAGGCCACACACTCTCGGATTTGCAAGTGGAGAGTTATCCAGGAGCCAATTTCAGACACGCAGAATCCATCCTATCTAAAGTGTCCACGTTGGTTGGTGTCGAGAAGGTGGTTTTGTCTTTTGGTCTCAACAGTCGAGGACAAAAGGCAAAAGAGACAGCAGTAAAACAAATGCAGGCAGCAGTAAGAATGGCAAAAAAGAAATTCCCTTATGCAGAGTTATGGATTCCCCTCATTAACTTTTCTTCTGCTCTAGCTGCTCCGGAGAAGCTTTGTCTTCAAAAGATAAACGCTCACATACAGAAAAACATGCCATACATTCCGTTGTTGCCAAACAGCGTATTCCAGACAGAGAGTGACTTGGTACATTGGTCCAGGCCAACAGCCAGTTCTATGCTACAACACTGGTGCAGGTATTTAAACTGGGGGACCCCATAAGTCCACATGTGGAAGGGGATAAGAGGAGAGTGCCAGTGACGTCACAAAATGTGGTAAATCTGTACAGAGCGTTTAAACTAACAGAGGCCCAACTGAATCTCCTGAACAGAGGGTTAACCTTTGTACCAACCCTGGATGTACATAAAAATCAACAAATACAATTGGAGCTGGACCTACAAAAGTACCATCGAAAGCTTAAATTAGCAACATTTTTTAAAAACACAACACAAAGTAGGCCAACGCCATTTACATTTCCATCTAACTGGACTCCTCCTATGTCTGATCTGCCCAAAGAATTACACTCATTGATTGATAAAGATTACGATAATTTCAAACATGATTATGATTGGCACATAGAAAATGCAAACTTATCACAGGAGGAAGTAACAGCATTAAGAGAACTTATGCATAACAAGCAGATAGTCATCAAGCCTGCTGACAAAGGCAGCGCTATTGTCATCCTAAGCAGGGAACAGTACATCACCGAGGTCCAACGCCAATTGCAGGATAGTATATATTACAAAAAATTAAAGGACCCCATCTTTCCACAATCAGTTCCGTTGGTACATGAAATTTTGAATACATTATACAAGAAAAAGTACATTAATGCAAAGCAGAAGCGTTATTTAAAAGGGGAAGGCCCTCCTAGAGAAAGGAGATTCTACATACTGCCTAAAATTCATAAACCTCCAGAAAAATGGAGTGTTCCATACCAAGTGCCCTCTGGAAGACCGATAGTGTCTGATTGCAGTAGCGAAACATATCATACAGCAGAGTTTATTACTCATTTTTTAACTCCCTTGTCCACCAAACATCCGTCATATGTAAAAGACACATATCATTTCATTGAAATTATAAAAGGATTAAAAATTCCACCTAATTCATTGTTGTTTACTATGGACGTAGACAGTCTTTACACAAATATTGACATACCAGCAGGACTGCGGGCGGT